GAGTACAGAGTGAACACTTTCTTAGCAAGGACCTACAAGGACAACATCAGAGGGAAATTAAAATTAGCATAAAGACACACAGAAAAAAGGAGGAAAAGGGAAGTAGGGTACACAGGATTAAAATTACAGTGTGACAGAAATGAGACAATCCACAAAATGCAGATCGTGTATTTAACCACACCAGCAGCTTCTTCTGTGGGACAACACATTAATGGGTATGTAATCTTCACGCTGCAAGAAAACAAGGTTAATAAAATAAAATGTCCATTTAAAACGTTCCAAAGCTGTAGCTGTGGAAACCCTTTTTGTGTCTGTGTGTACTGTACTGGATGTGCGTATTCACAGCTCATGCACAATTACCACTTTCATTTACTTAAGCTTCACTAATGCTTCATTTGTATACTTATTATTACTTGTATTATATGAAAATATTTTTGATAACAGGAACCAAGACCTGCCCAAGTTGGTGTCCTTTATGTATGTATGACTCTCCAGCTTGCACAAACACAGAACAACAACATGCACTTCTAAATTTAGCAGCACTGAGAAGCTGTGCTGTTTCAGTACAAGTGTGTTTTTGTTGCCCTTGTTTCTTGGTCGATATCCTTAATTGTCTAGACCTTTGGTTAGTTGCAGCTCCCAACAGGATTCAGCGCTGAAAAAGAAAAATTTAACCTAGAAAGCGCGAAGAGTGTGTGTGCGTGTGTGTGTACGAGGCAACATTACAATATGTTTAAACACATCCCTGACTATGGAGTGCAAGAGCCTGCGTATTAACCCTCAAACACAGACACCTGGAGTCAATGCCCCTCCGCTCTCTCCAATGCTCACACAAGGTCAGAGAGCGCTCATCTTTTACCAGAGGGAGATCACATGTGTTCAGCAAAGTCACAGCAAAGAAGGCTTCACTTTAGGTAGATGCAAATAAAAAAACACTAATACACTAACAGGTACCACTAAAATGTGAGGCATCATTTTGGAGCTACGTGGGTTTTTAACCCCCCCCACCTCCTCCACATGCCGTGTCTTTGAATAACTGAGTGGCTGTGTAGAATGTGATGAACTTGATAAGGTAAGGCAACACTCGTAATAAAGATCTTTATCTGTGTAAAAATATCTCTTCTGCTGATTGGTTCAGCTCTTCGTTTAAGCTGTGATAGTTTAACACGATACAGAAATTATTGTTTGCATTCAGAACTGTGTAAAGGGTAAAACCACCGCACAGATAGCATTTCTTAGGCTGACACCTGAGGTATGCAGATAAAACCTGCAGAGAAGTTAGACTAAGAGGCTTAAGTGAGGTTTGTCAACAAAAAAAGCAAGAAAAAAAAAATCCAATCTGGTGTATCATCAGGACTCTTACAGCATTTTAGTTTTGTGTATACAATAAGAAATTCAATAATATTTGCTACAGTGGCATCAGTGCAAACAGTCTAATTACTTATACAAATAAAGAATAAGGCAAAAATGAAACATGATAATTACACTTGTTTATATGTTACTGTAGATCAGACCTGG